CTTCCTGTTTTTCTCTGCCAAAGCTTAAATACTTCTAGTTTCAGTCTTGCCTTTCTGAGCAAGTGCTGCAGGTGAACAAATCCTGCCTGAAAATAAGCCTGTTTACTCTTCTACAAAATAACGCAGAAGTACAATATTCTGAGTGCTTTCTATTACCTTAGGGCTTCTCACACAGTGTCAATATTAAGATAGACCTTATTCACTGAGTGTGAAAATATTTTTCGTTAAGCTACAAACTCGGTTACAAAACGTCATTGTGTACTTGGAACACCATTCAAAAGTAATTTTCAACTTCATGTGTTAATGAAGTAAGCCTCTTGCACAGAAAGAATGATGAAAAAATATTCTTTTGTTTATTGCACATTCGTATTCATGGACTACATTAGTGATTTGTTTGGGGCTGGTTTTTAAATGAGGCACTGAAGCACAGGTCAGCCAAACACTGCTGTTGTAGTCTTCACAGCCACTGCCATCCTTCCTTATCTTTGGGCTCGTGTGTTAGCATCTCTGCATTTCTAATTGCTGATGAATCCGAAGAGAGATTCTTAAGTACTTTATTTTTTCCACGTGGAGCTGAGGTTTTATTCCCAACTCTTCATGCAGTGCATCCATGGAAAAGACATGTGCTTTCTTTGTCCACCTGTGAAATTTGGTGGATATTGCTGTATATGAAATTAAATCCATCATTTTTGATGTTAGCGGGTAAGCATGTAGTCTAAGCTAATCATCCAAGTATCTTCTCTGTTGTGAGGATAAAGGTGATCTGCAAGAGCAATTCACCCCAGCTAAGGTAGAACATGGTGAACTGCCCTCTGGAAGCGCATCTCTTCCTGCTGGCTACAGAAAGGGCCTTCACAGCTCATATGGTCAAGATGCCTGCCTTCAGCTGGACTGGCAGCTGTAACCTCAGAATTTGCAGCATTCACATGTTACATAGATTAGTGGCACATCTGTATTTTGGTCAGGGCTCCAAGGGCTAGCTGCTTGTGCTAAGGATGCATCAAACAGGTCTTCAAGAAAAACAAATGATCTAAATGATGTATGTGATGTTTTAGAGTTTTGTCTGTGTGTCTGTAAAAGACCAAGACGTATTAGCAATTTTTGTTACAAATAAGAAGTTGCATTTATTAAATAAAGTCCACTTGATAGCTGATAATCCATAAATAATATAATCCATTAATTAATACCAATACCTAAAGATTTTTTCCAATTACTGTTTTAATAAAGGCCTTTTGTGATGAATATTTCTGATTAGCTTATTTAAAAAAAAAAAAAAAACCTATTTTAAATGTATGATAACCTTATTGGAAAGGATGAGGGGATGATGTTGTGGCTTTTCAAATAAGCTTGAGTGATTAATTTCCCAGATGACATCCGTCTGGATTCAGTAGAGCCCTCCAGTGAACTAAAATGAAAAATCACCACTCCTTCCTGTTCTTTGAAACAAAGTTTTACTAAAACTAAACACCTCAGGGATTTAACTTAATAGCACGAATCAGATTTATCTGCTTTTAAGCCACTTCTACATCTTCTTGGAAGAAAGAGTAGATGATTCTGTTCATGCAGTGGCAGTTGATCTCGGTGAGTGCAGCCTGTTTTGACTCTGTCTTTTTGTTCAGACTAAGCTGATAGACCTTGAAGACTCTTCAGAAATGTCAAGTCATTTCCTCATAAGATGGGAATTTCATTCATCTTTTCAAAGCAGTAATGCCTCTGCCCTGTCCTCCCCTTGAGTACTTCAGGACATACCCCTATTTCCTATAAAGCTTCATGCTTTCCTACATCACTTTTTCTATTGCTTTTACTGCTCAGTAATTTGCTCAGGAGAGCAAATACAGACTGAAAAGAATTTTGATAACTTTGTGCATGATTTTATATGGGATTAAAGGAGGAAAATGCACATGGAGAATTGATTTGCATATAACTTAACTGCACACTTCCATTTTTTCTTACAAGTACTTTGCTCTGTTGAAAAGCTACAGCTGGACAGAGTAACCGACAGTCGGCCTGAGAGAGCACAATGAGCTTTGCTCAGGCAGTGTCCTGCCAGCATCCTTTAACTGCTTTTATCTTTCTCCGTCAGGAAGTGGGGTAGGAAGGGAGGGAAGTGCTTTTCCCTGCCCCACATGCTGCTGGAGCTCTTTGTCAGAGCTCTCAGTAAGCAAGGGAGTGAGGGATTCTGTGGCACTGGAGCTGACACAGAGATCCACTTCACTCACGACATGTAGAAGACAGCAAATGTGCTTGAAAAGGAGACACTGTTCTTTAAGAGTTTGTGATCTAGCCTGAATCACAAGTGATGACCTGCACATGGAAGTACCTGCAACAGAGTAGTAGTAATGTCCAAAACCTGTAATGTCCCCGTAATGTGTATCGTTACAGGAGGAAAGGTGTATTTTCCTAAAAAAAAAAGTTGATGTTATTAAATTATCTTATTTTTTGGCTATTACAAGACGCTTTCATTTTCATAGAAACATAGAATGGTTTGGGTTGGAAGGGACCTTAAAGACCATCTAGTTCTAACCCCCCTGCCATGGGCAGGGACACCTTCCACTAGACCAGGTTGCTCAAAGCCTCATCCAGCCTGGCCTTGAACACTCCCAGGGATGGGGCATCCACAGCTTCTCTGGGCAACCTGTTCCAGTGCTTCACCACCTTCTCCATGAAGAACAACTTCCTGATATCCAATCTAAACCTCCCCACTTTCAATTTAAACCCGTTACCCCTTGTCCTGTCACTACTGGCCCTTGTAAAAAGCTCCCTCCCCCGGCCTTCCTTGTAGCCCCTTCAGGCACTGGAAGGTGCTATAAGGGCTCCCCGGAACTTCCTCTTCTCCAGGCTGAACAAGCCCAACTCTCTCAGCCTTTCATTTTCTATAAGCATGCCTTACAGAAAAGAAATGGTGTGTTTATATAGAAAGGTTTTCCCCTTCGATAGAAAAGGTGAACACTTTCCTTTTCTACAAGCACAAAGCTTCTATCTCCACTTGCTGTTCTCAGTTCCCTCAGATCAAGGCTCCTGCCTTAATTAGAGCATCAGTACTTGTATACGTTTCCCTACCTCTGAAGACGTGAAGGTTTGAGCTGTAGACTGTAACTTCTTGCACAGACTGTTTTCACTTGAACCTAATGATCAATATGGTATGTCTGTATCTGTGCCTAAGATTTACAGGGTCAAGATTGTTACGTGTGTATCCCTCAGGGGGTCCTTGAGTGCCACTCACAGGAAAGGTGCTTGTGGGACGGGGGAAAGGAGACGTGCAGAGGGATTACCCTGCCAAGCTAAGAATCAGCCTCATCTGAAGCTGACAGCTAGACAGAGTCTGTGTTTGTGAGCTTGCTTGCTCAGGGCATGAGCATCCAGATAAGAAGAGAAAGAAACTGAATTAATTGTACTGTCCCACTCTGAAATTGAAGTGTATTTCTTCCCCTAGCTCTCCTCTCTGTCTGCAAGACCGTAAGGAACAACTTCCCATACCTGCAGAGAGAAATCACAGCCCTGTTTGATTGAAGCACTTTTAAGAGGAAAATACAGGCTAAAATAAAAACAGCAGTAAGGAAAGGGAAACTTTGCAGTAACTAAAAATAAAGGCACACCACTTCACAAGATTGGTTATTGCATCTGTCCAGAGTTTGGAATTCCAGACATCGGGGTCGGGAGGTCGCCCAAAGGTTACTTTTCTCCCAGTCAAGAACAAACACAGTGGAATTGCACACCAGCGTCTTTTCCCAGCCCACTTGAAGAGTTGCCAGAGCTGCTCTTGGATGTGTTCGCGAGTGACGCAAAAATCTATTCTTAAACACAGACAGAATATACATCAGTCATTTAGCACAGAAGGAAACCATTAACATCAAAAGGGGTGGAGTAGAGAGGCTTTTTATATTACCAACTGCTCTCATAAATTTAACGCTAAGTGGAAGAATATAATTGATTCGTATGTGTGCTTTGTCTCACGTGAAAGGCTAATGTATTGCTTAGGTACAGCAGTGCTGTTGCAGAATTGTATAAATACAACTTGGCAGAAAACCAAAATCCAAAGGAAATGCCCTGGTTTTTTTCCTGAACCACACTTCTGTAATTTTGGTTTGTAATACATAAGCAAACTTCTTTTTTTAGAAGTATTGAACTCTAGTTGAAATTCCCAAATGCTCCAAATAACATGGTAATATTTTAAATGCTTTACCATATTTAGCTTCAACTGATTGTCATTATTAAATAAAGTCAATTCTCTCATAACCCTAGTGGAAGAATGAAGAGTACCCAAAAAGAACAAAACCGCTGTGACTCAGACTGTTTGTTTTATTTAGGAGAACTGGTGGGAATTTATGTTTTACTCCCTTAACGTCTATCGTGCGTTACTGCAGATGTTGTACGTAGACGGTTTACTTTTAGTAAGTCCTTGCAGAACCTAATGTCCTTGCAGAACCTGACGCTTCCTTGAATGGCATGTAAGCCATATTAGCCTAGTTCCTAAAGGTTATACAGAAGTGAATATGAGATGTATAGGTAAAATATTATGGAAAAAATGGAATATCATTCCAGCTCTTTTTGCATATACTCAGCCTCTACAATTAAATTTCTCCATGAGCTTTGAAATGAACCAAGAAGATTCAACCTGCATTTTCCAACAAAATCTAAATTATCTTTTAAATTGTCTTAAGTTGCTAGAGTTGCCAAAGTGCTTGTGATAGTCTCTTAAATGGACTGGAGATGTACACAGATCTGCTTTTCATTTACAGAGCAATGTTGTCTTGTTGCTGGATACAAACAATGGTGCCCTTCGCCGACTTTTGCTCTTACCAGATGCTCAAGAGTCTCCTAAGAGAACATCGTGGTGGAGCAGCAAAGAAGAAGTGGTGAGGAATAGCACCTGTATCTATTATACTAAGTTTTGGTTTTTTTAAATCAGAGCTCCATATTGGAAAATCTGCCCCAGGATTGTTTATGGTTTTACAGCCTCAGCACTTAATTGTTTACTCTTACGTATGTTTAAATGCCTTACACATAAAATGGCATTCTTACAGAATCATGATATGAAAAATATAAATAAGTAGCATTGTCTGAGGATGTGTATCTTTAAAATACCTCTCTTTGGAGCTAGAAATGGGATTAATGGAACATTTTGTTACAAGGGATTATGTCTAAAATAATGAACTCAATTATGATGCAATTACATGACTTGGGACAAGGCAGGCTAGGTAGCATTTTGAGAGGTAATTAATGGTGTAGATTATTTTAAATAAAGGAAAAATGTAATACACTTTTAGGGGAGTCATGGAGGCTCACTGGGCCAAATCTAACAAAACACTGATTGCTGTATGACGTATTTTTATACAGAGCAGCTACAAAATGTGCCGAGAGTTTTCACACAAAAACTGGCTGGTGTTCTACAAAGAAGCAGGGTGAGAGTACAATATAGTCTTGTATTATATTGATTTGTAACATATCTCCTGGTGTACATCCCTATCTGATTATTCTTTTCTTGGCTTCCAATTTTACAGAAACCGCCTTATTGTTCTGGATGTATTAGAGGGTCGAACTCATACCATCTCGCTTCCGATCAATCTGAAATCCGTTTTCCTGGCAGCTGAAGACCGGTGGCTCTTGGTGGAAAATGAAACAAATCAGTTAGTTAAGCCTAGTTTTCTTGACAGTATTATTTCTTGTTTGTGTCTTGTTTACATTCAGGAGTTTCACTCCTGGTCTTAAGAGTTGTTTTTCAGTTTGTGAGACTGGCTGGACTTAACCAGTTGGTGCTTAAGATGCAGATTTCCTCTGGTGAAAGTGCAGGTAGGCTGTTAGAGTAGGAAATGAACAGGATATGCCTTTCTAAATTCATGCTGCTGAAAGTCTATACTAGCTGTTAATACTGTTCAGTGCATGTGAATAGTTTTTACTGAGGTGGTGTCACTTCTGGAAATTAGAATTTTGGTGGACATAGATTTGGAAATGTAGCCGCATCGTCCAGGGTTGGTGCCTGCTTGCTTGACTTTCATGGTCATGTGAAAGAAATATTACTCTGCTGTCTTATTTTTATAAATGCACAGCAAATAAAAGTGTGTAAATAGTTACCAGAAGACCAATCTGCCACTTGCTGGCTTACCCTTTCCTATCTCACAGATGTTTGGTAAATCATGTTTAGTTTCAGCAAAAGGTGTTGATAACCTTGTTTATATAAATGTAGAATGTTTTTGTTACTTGTTTAGATTTACAAGCTGAATCAGGAATTATTATAAACTTGTATCCTTTACAGGAAATTTCTTTTAACCAAGCATGCCCATATAGAAGCTGAAGACAGTGAGGTTTGCCAACTGTATGCATTGAGTGAAGAGCCAGCTGACATGGGATTTGGCTTAACAACAGGTACTGAACACGAGCTTGGCTTGTTCTTCTTTTCTTAAATCACTTCTGTGTTTGCAGCTGCACAAACAAGGCTCTTTTACTTTAAAGGTCTGGGTAACCTTCTCTCTGATTCTCTTTTTATCCTCCCTTTTTTATCATGTTTGGTTAATAATAACTTTTCACAAAGCGTGGCAGATTCCATGCTCCAACTTCAGGTTGTTGTAGTAAAGCATCTTTGTTTTGTTGTAACATCTAAGAGCCTCAGTCATTGACGGTTAGGAAATGTACTGAATGGGACAGGAAAAAAGGCAACTGGTCAGGAATTAGAACATAGGAACAGAAGGGATCAAATACACTGTTCAGTCTAGCCTGTATGCTGTTGCATGTCTGTTGGACACACTCAGATGAGCTAGAAGACATTTCCTGACACTTATAAAAATACAAAAGACCTACTGTTAGAACAGGAATCAGAGTTTCTCAAGTTCTGCAGGTAGTGTGCAGGAGGCCATTGAGGCCATCACACCTGTGTTAAAAGATAGGGGCGGATTTGTTCAGTAAAATTCCTGGGTGTTGCTAGGCATTGAGGCATGTCATAGCTACAGAAGGAGGCAGAAATCTCCGATGATCATCGTTCTGCCTGCTAAGATCTGTCTTGTCTTCAGATCTGATGACTTTTTCAATCCTGAGCATTTGATCATGGTGCACAAAATCTTTAGCCTTCCTGGTTTAATAACACTGGAAGTACATGTGCATCCCACCTAACAGTTCATAGGCTTAGGCCTATCTCCAGTGTGTCTCAGAAAGACAGTAAAAAAACAGAGAAACCACTTTATATCTGTTAAAGAGGGAATAAGTTTCATCCTGCTCCTTGTGGACCCTAAGTATAAAGAATGAGATTAACAGTGGATAAACATGATAGAAGCAAATGTTATTGACAAATAACAAATACTGCTTATTTTACACAAACAGCAACAATTTGGGTACCAAGGGCTAACCACAGCTTAAATATCTAGGATCCTTTTAATCTCTTGTAGTTTACCCTGTCAACTTATCAAGCTCCGTCACAGCACAGTAGTTTCCTTCCTCCTACTACCTTATTTAGAGAGTGTGATCCTCAGATGGGCAGAAACATTATTATAATCTCCAGTCTCGGACTGTTTGTGGACAGTTTATTGCTGCATGCTTTTTGTGCTATTTTTGTCCTTATCTTACATCTTCTCTTCCAATCTAAAAAGTTGTCCTATCCCCTTTCCACTTTTTTTCAAATCATCCAGCAAACCCCGAATGTTCAGCTTGTTATCATTCTTTGAGGCAGAACCTGTGACAGGAGAGCTAAGAAAAGGTAGACCAATGTGGGTTTTCCATTGAACCAAACCAGTAGCCCATTCATCCTTTGAGGGAGGAAAGACTTTCTCCCACTGCCAGGTAAATGAGAGAGTCTGCCCATCGAAGTGGAAAGCGTGTGTGCTGCAGATCTAAAGGTAGCAGGTTCTGACTATGTTGATTATTTGAGGCAAGGTTGTTGCAGTTGCACAGAATAAAATTTACTTTCCTTAGCTTAAAGAAAAAGAAAACTAGACCATTATTTACCAGAAACGTGTTACAGATAATGCTATTTGAATTGCAAAGACAGCAAGACAGCAACCAAGAAATGTCACGTTGACACTTACCTGTGCAAACCTACATTTTGCCTTTCTTTGCATTTGCATTATAACAGTTTTTAATGAGATCACACGCTGTTCTATTCCATAGGCTCCCCGCCTCATTTGCACAGTAGAGGGCAAAATTAAGTGGCATAAGCAACTATAAAGCTAGTATTTCATGAGTTTAAGTATTTAACTTCACAAAAATAACATTGTTTCCTGACTTCTTTTCTGTGTTATGGAACAATAAAATCTTCTGCTCTTTAGTAATTTTATGCTCAATAAATAGTAACGATCAGTGCGCAGCACTCTTACAGTTAATGTTGTTTCCTGTTGCACATCTGGATTTAATTATATTAATTTTGTTTAATTTCCCTGCTTAGCATCCAAACTGTGTGTGCCTCATGCAGTTTCAAGTGACCAGCTATCTTCAGAAAACCTCAGTGCAGCTGTGGGACAGAAGATCAGCTCCCCCAACAGGATTTTCTCAGATGAACATAATTATGCTACTATTGTTGTTGGTTTCCCAGACCTCTTGGTAAATACTCAGCATTATTATACAATGAAGTAATATGATCTCATTTATTCTGTAACCAGTTAAGTACCTGTTTACCAAATGATATGGAAAAATAAGGGAATGACATATTCATGTGGTGTACACCATTTGGTAAAGTAGTCTAATTTAGAGGTATTTCAGTTAAGTTTGAAATAATAAGAAATTGGACAACATAATGTCTAGCACAGACAAAATTAATTGTAGGTAAGTTCTGAATAGTGCTGGCTAGAGGAATATTTTCTAAATCATGTGTTTTTCATAGAATCATAGAATGGGTTGGGCTGGAAGGGACCTTAAAGATCATCTAGTTCCAACCCCCCTGCCATGGGCAGGGACACCTTCCACTAGACCAGGTTGCTCAAAGCCTCATCCACAATCTTCTATGGATTAATTAAATATAACCAATGACAAAAAGGTTATCAGTATCATTCTGGAATGTTTAGTGTGAACTTTTTGCTCAGTGTGCTGCAGCTAGCAAGACTTCAGATTTAAGAAAAAGAAAAAAGATAGAGAAAATGGTAATAAAACTGTACAGCCCCTTCACTGCACGTAAATGTGCTCACTCCTGTGACGCATTTAGAAAAGGACCAGAAAGGAAAGTGAAACTTCGGGGTAATGACTAAGGCTGTTGCAAGCAGTGGAGGTAAACACAAGGAAGATAAAAGCATATGTTTAATTATTTGGTTTTGCTTGTATTTACTACCTAGTGATACATAAAAAGGGTGGTGCTAATGGAATAAATAATTCTATGTCATGTTTGCTTAATAAATTAAGGCAAATTAGAAAATTGAACTGTTAACAGACATTAATTTTGGGAAAGCCAAATGATAGAAGAAAATACTCCGAAATTCAAAATTATTCAAAAATATGTTTTTGTCAATAAGACATTCCCTGTCTTTGCAATTAACTTCCGAGTTTTTCTTGGTTTAGATTTATATTACCAGATAGATTGTACTTGATTTTCATATTATTTATACTAGATGTTATTGCTGGAAAAGGGAAGTAGTCTAGAGGCAGGAGTACTAAAGATGCTACACGCTTCAATACCAACACTGGTGAAGAAGCATTTTGCTGCCCCTGATGTAGACTGAGGGCCTGTCGTTCCTTGTACATGGTTTTAAATGACCATGTGAATGTCAGAGAGGGAGCGCTAAAGGTGAATGTCAGGGTGGTGGGACAAAACTTCAGATTCAGTGTGTAGTGTTAATGGTGTAGGTGTTTAGTATGAACAAGGTGTCTAAGCTCTTATTCGTAGTAGCTGTACTCAGTTGGCCAAACATAGAGGCCTTCTTCAAGGTGAGATGATTTATTGTCTAGGCTCTACTGACTGTACTGGGATGTGAAGCACATGGCTAACATGTGGATACCTACATTTATGTCTCTGAATCTGGAGTCAAATCCCAGCAAGAAACATGTATTTTTCTGCTCAATCATAGTAACGTTTTGTTCAGTGAACTCCTTCTCTCTTGTAGTCTCCTAGTGAAGTGTACGGCTGGAAAAGAAACTCCCCTCTGAGTCACAAACGTGCTTCTCCTTCTGATCCATTTTATTATGGAGCCCAGAGGAAACCAGAAGCTGCAAAACAAACCAATTGTGTAACTTTATTGGCTTCTAATCAAATAGTCAGAATTTTAGCACCTGGAGATGTGCCTTTGAAAGACATTTACCCAAAAGGTAAGAGGTTCATATACTTGTGCTGCAACATCTGTACACGCTTGTTTTTGTTTTGTAAACTGCATTCACTCATGAATTTTTCTCAATTTTTTTTCAAGTATCACAGAGCAAGCGTTTGAGGAGGAATGAGAGTTGTTGCACTCATTTTTTAGATTAATTTGGATCTTACTAAATGCTGCATTTTACCTCTGAGGAATTAACAGGCTACCTACACTGAATATCCCAGTAGGTGGGATCTCCTTCTGTCTGCACTGGCAACCAGCTACAGGAATATTATCGTTGCAGTTCAGCAATTGGCCTTGGAACTGGATGCTGTTTAAGGTCCCTTCCAACCCAAACCGTTCTGTGATTCCATGATTCTCATTTGTGAGGGATAAGTACAGTGCTTCCTAGTGATACAAAATGGGACAAACTTATGGAAGGTTAAAATACATAGACATAAAAACATAGATGCCACTCTCATCTTAAGAAGCCCCTAGATTGGAACTGGTTGGTAATTTGAGGAAAATACTATGTGTGCTTGTCCAGTTGTTACACTGCTCAAGCGTTTAGCTACTCTTGGAGACAGGATGCTAGATTAGAGGGACCTAGTATTGCCATTGTTACAGCATGAATCCAAAATCTATCCACGTGAAAAAGGGAAGACGGAAGAAAAGAGACATACATTCGTGTACTCACTTGGAAGGTGACATTAAAAGATACTCGTCCTTCCTGTGCCCATTTGACACCCAGTATTTGCAACCCTTTCTGCTGGGCTGTTGTTTCTTCTGGAGTTTGCCTGTGATTCTCACTAATGGACAGAATATTTGATTGAATGCACATTTAACTGCTCCCAGTAGCTGGTTAACAGTCTTGGTCCCTTGGAGATTCAGCTCGGCTTAGTCCTGGTTGTGCTGCATAATCCATGAGGGCCTTTTGACGTTTGGTGATTTGTCTGTGCTGTTGTTTCTGCTTTGGAAACCTGGAGTTACTTACCTGCGAAAGGTGTATAAGGCTTCGTCCATAAGTCTTTCTATCCTGGAAGACAGGATAGTGAAGCAAAGGCATCCTATTACATAAAATAGAGTATGTGGCTGTCCCTTGAAGTTATTGCACTAATGTTTTACGTTGCCTTTGAGAAGTTGGTTTATACTTTTGCTTCGGTTTGCATATCTATCCGGCTTTCTTTCTCATCTTCTTGGACAACTGGCCAGTTCTGGCACACAGCCTTCCATTTCTATTAATAATTCAAAGCACTCAGCCAACCTCTAGTTTACTCCAATATGTATTTCCAAAACTGTTCCAGGAACAACAAGCAAAGAAATAATTTTCTTTATGTTTTATTGGAACTGTAAACCAGGATAATAGTTATGTTTGAAAAGAAACTATTGCAAGTAATAATTTCCCTAAAGACTGCCAAATAGATGTATGGCCACAAAATCTAAACTCAGTCAAGAGATCATGACAGAATCCAGCAAATAAGTACTAATGTTTATTCTAAAAACAAGGCTATAGAATTAAGGGCTACTTGAGAGCAAATATTTACTTGAATTCTCATCAATTTCCTTATATGAATATAACATAACAGTCTGTTACTGAGTGCGTAGCTCTGTTAGTGTGACAGTAACTGGAACAACATGTAGTGTAACACACGCAGTTACAGGAATAACCTCAACGCATCATCTGGTCCGACTATTTATATAGGGACAGGATGACACATGTTTAGACTCTTCTTAACAGATGTTTGTCAAACAATTGGCCAATTGCAATGCTTCACTCTCCCTGTATAAGAAAAGCTCTTCCTAGTATCCAGCTTTTTTTGCTGTAAACAAAACTGAGTACTTCGTCTCACCTCCACTCAGTCAGGATAATATGGGTCTTTTTGTAAGGATCTTTTCAATGTCATAGAAAATGTGTTTTTCAAAAAATAACTCTTTTAGGGAAAAAAAAAAGTTAATTCCTTAAATTCATTCTTATAGCCCATCTGTTCTGACATCTTTGTTACACCCAGGACTATCTCATATGTCTCTGTTTTCCTTGAAGTTTGATGTCCAGAGCTGAGCATAGCTATTCTTCTCCATCAGGCTTTGGCAAAAGAGAGACAAACTACACTTGTTTAGATCTGATGTTCATGTTTCATTGCAAGAGTCCTGACTGCAGTTCTGGGGCCTGGCCAGTTGTTCCTGTGTTGCATTTAAACATTTGATTACCTTTTCTTCAGCTTCCTACTCTGCAACCTTTTTTATAACTTTATTTGGCTCATTTGTGTTCTCTCTCTATTTTATTAACTTAATTATGAATTCTCAACCTACAGTTCTACCCTTTCCATTTCAGTATCAGCTGTATGTTCTAGATCTGCATCAGAATTTTTAATGGACATCTTATTCTCCACTACTACCCAAAGAGAGAGCACATTTTTAAACAGTCACAAATCTAGGCAAAACAAAAAGTGCTCTGTGGCCCACAAACCTGTATTCTTCCAGACATATTTTTCCTGTTTTCAGTGTGTTCAATATTTCCATCTTTATGAGTAAAGTCAACAGATGTACTACTGTAGTTATGCACACTAGAGATATGTAGATACAGTAGATATGCATAAAAGCTGCTGTGAGTTATTCTATATACTCATTTGAATGTTAGAACCCTTTATACTGCCGATCATCCTGGTCTTTTCTGTGTGTGCTGCGTGCAAGCAGTGCAATGCACTTCATCAGGTAGCATCAGGCTCTCCTTCATTTCCAGGAGGTGAAAAGATACGTTGTTTCAGAAGGAAATCCAGATTTGCTTTCATCTTGTGACAATATTTTGTACCCGTACCATGCTGCGTAATTCAGTCTCCTGGCTTCTTTTCTGAAAAACTTAAGTTCCTCGATTTACTCCAGGCAGATGAAAGCCACCTCCTAACTGGAAGCTCAGTTCTGAGCCCAGGCAGAGTGTACCCTTACGTTTACAAAAGCTGGTGTAGACACACACCTACACAGATTTACTTCTGAGGGAGGGACCATACTGTTAGCTGTATTCATTAAACTGTCTATAAACAGAATGTGAAGTACCTGACAGTCTAAGGTTATTTACTGTGAAATTATAGTCTTTGCATACTGAGAATCTACCTGCAAAAAGAGTGATTCAATTTAAGGCAACAACATTTATGTTAATATTATAGAGAAGTTTTCAAGTGCAACTCATAAGCACAGTGTTTTGAAACGTGCCTCAATATGCCTTTTAAGTCAGATATACAGCTGAAGTCATCTTCAGTGACAGATACAAGCAGCGAGTTAGGGATTGCATTAATGCTGGATTCGTGCTTTTGAGAGTAGGGCTATATTTGTGTCTAATTTTGACATTTGCTATACAAATACATTGTTCTTTTATAATTGTGCCTGTCTGCTTGCTCACAACGTAATAGTAAAACAATTCTGTATTTGCAAGTTATACCCCTGTGTTGAATGTGAAAGCTTATCATTTTCTGACAGGTACTGTATAATGAAACGTTTAAATTCGATCTGCTAAATGTTAATGCAATAACCAGTTAATCATGCAGCAGGAAAATAACATGTTTGTTTGTTTTCAGATGTCACTCCTCCACAAGCTGCTGGATACTTGGAAGTAACAGATCTTAACTCAAAGAAAATCAAATATATTGCTATTCCCAGGTAACTGATTTTATTGATTAGAGTAGCCTCTGTCTTAGAGGAAGAACAAAGAGAATTTAGTGTGTAATTTTCTTCAGGATAAGTATATGCTTCAAGTATTTCTTCTGATGTGGAAAGTGAGAATAATTCTTACCTACTGTGTGAAATTCTGCAACTGTTGGCAGCATATTTTTGTCAACATTTTTAATCTGTTTCCTAAGTGATACCAATGAAAATAGAGCACTTAAAGCTAACTTTCATATCTACTAATTATCTTTTGATATTCACTCCCTTTGCTCTTCCTCCCTCTTCGCCCACTCTGTCCTCTACAGTCTTTCATTCTGTTTTGCTATCTTTATTTTTTCCCTTTTTCTCTATCTTTAGGGTCTGACAAAGACAGGCAGAATGAACAGGTGCTTGGGTCAGAAAATGAGGAATCAAGTTCTGGTCAAATATAAAGTTCACTTTGAAAATAACTTGAGCTTCTATATGTTTTGGTTCTCACTTTGGAAAATATACATTCCCTCACAAGTATCTGGCATGATACACAAGTATCTTGTATGATGCATTAAAATATCCAGACTATATGGCTTCTGTATGGCTTTAACCTCCATCTTTCACCATTGTAGAGCATATTTGCAAATATTTTATTATATAAACGTATTTTTTTGGTTTAAAATTGTCATTTTCCACTGCAGTAATAATAAAGGATTGTGTCTCCAGTAGCAGTCTCAGCTGCTTTAAATAGCACTGTAAACAGCACATGTATGAAACCAACACCTGGGGATTTTTTTTTGTTTTAAATTTTGTCCATTTTATGTTATTTTTGACAACATTAATTGATTATCTTTTAAATTAATTCTGCTTCATTAATCATCTGTGGCTTTTTGACTAGGTAATTGATTTTGGACTAGTCACCATTTTATAATTGATCCCTTGGCCTGCGTCTTACACAGTCATTAAGAAATGTAAGCATTAACGTAGAAACCGTAGTCAATCACTTCATTCTACATTATGACTTTATAAGAAACTACAAAGCATTCAGCTGTGTAACTTCAGCAGCATGATGCTTGGCTTCATATGAGAATTCAAGCTGTTTATGACAAATCTGAGCAGAAGTCCCAATTAAAAAATGTACTCCATTAGGAACTGATAAATAAAGTGACTTGTCATATATATCAATACTTCCACACTAAAATCTAACAACTTTTCCCCCTTCTGGCATAGTTAGCCTGGTCAAATGCCAAGATAATTCTTCTTCAGTTGAATTAGTACATGGGGATTTCAGTCATAGGTAGAGGCATATGTGTTACTGCTTCTTTTCTCTTTGAAGGTTATTAATTCTAATATTAGTTCAGGTTGCCAAGTCATTATGCATGTCATTAACGGTACTGAAAAAACACACTCTTCTCCTGCTTTATCATATTATGCAGTTATGAGACCCTCTGTTTTAGCAGTAAATTTTTATCTGCAAGTTGACTGCTCATTTAAAACAGTGCTAAGCTTCTCTGTACATAAGACTGTGCCATCTCTAGATGAGGGCTTAAATCTTCATCTCTTACTAAAGCACTAGAGAGGTCTTACTTTGATAGAAGGATATTTTCCTCAGTGGTCAAGTTCGCTTCTATTTCTTTTGTAGTTTTATATTTTTCTGTAACAGATTTTTAAATATTTCGTATTCTGTATAGTTTTTTGTAAAGACTGATTTTTTTTCGGATAGATGAGATACAGCAGTGGGTTAGGCAAACACATTCCCTTTCATCCTGGTCTTTTATAATACTTTTTATACTGGCAAGTATCTTTCACTCATACCCAGTTTCAGTAGGTGGAATGTTTTGGCTAGAATAGTGGGTCTGCACAGCTTAGTTATTGTCTCTCCTAGAACGAGGGTGTAATTTCATTTAACTGCCACCTTAACTACAGAAATACTCATCCCCTTTTTAATTGCAGCTTCAAAAAATTTACATTAATTCTTGTTTTTACAGATGCCAGTCTCTCTCTCCTTACACATCTTGGCTCTCTAAGATCTCAGACGCCGATGTCCTTTTGGCACCACTGGGCAAAGTAGGTTTGGTTACTGTGGACATGGGAGGTGGCGTGAGGCTTTGGGAAACAGGGCTGGACAGCCTTCAGCGGTCGCTGCAGGACTGGAGGAACATGATTGGCCAAGAAGATGGTCGTCCTGTGCAGGTAGGAGTTCACAAAGCCGAGGGGAAAAACATTTAACAGAATGGGTTACAAATGAGTTTTCGGCTGGGAGAGGGTTGGGGGCAAGCTGTGTTGAAAACCATTGAAGTAGAAATAGGCCTGCGAGGAAAGTTGAATAGTCATCTTCACTGAAAAAACAAAAGGCACAACAGCTTCATTAGAAAGCTTATTTGTGACCCCTACAATTACAGTTGCTGACAGTCTCTTTGTCTTGCGGTGTTTGTATTTTTGCCAAATCCCAGTACATTTAAATGCAAATTAATTCTTTATCTCCTGCTGATTTTTAACAGCAACTTTCAAAATGTAGGATAATGAAAGTAATTTTTAAGTTAATCATATACTTTTCTAGAGTTCAAATACTTGGAAAAAAATTACGGTGTTTGTACTTTAGAAAAGAAGCATGGAAGGTGGAAGATACCTTGAGTTCACAGTATGGCTGATTCAGAACATTCTCCCAGCTGTTACGATTCTCATGGGGAATGTTTAGGTAGATGTTGAAAATATGCAGCATATACATACATGTATGCTGTATGTGCCTGTGTGAATGTATACACAAATATTAATGCACTGGCTAATAGGTATGATCGCCATTGCAACATGGAGGGAAAATTCAGGTCTGTTCAATTGCACCTTTAATTTCTGTTCATAACTGGAGAAGGTGTCGCTTTTCTTTGAAGAACTAGAGCATGGTTTAGGAGCACTTCTCCACTTTTGACTAGGAAGTTAAGAGGGCCACGAAGATGCTCAGAGGGCTGGAGCACCTCTCCTATGATGAAAGGCTGTGAGAATTGGGATTGTTCAGCCTGGAGAAGAGGAGGCTCTGGGGGAGACCTTATAGCACCTTCCGGTACCTGAAGGGGCTACAAGGAAGCTGGAGGAGACTTTTTACAAGGGCCTGTAGTGACAGGACCAGGGGTAACGGGTTTAAATTGAAAGTGGGGAGGTTTAGATTAGATATCAGGAAGAAGTTCTTCCCGGAGAGGGTGGTGAGGCACTGGCACAGGTTGCCCCGAGAAGCCGTGGGTGCCCCATCCCTGGAAGTGTTCAAGGCCAGGCTGGAAGAGGCTTTGAGCAACCTGGTCGAGTGGAAGGTGTCCCTGCCCATGGCAGGGGGGTTGGAACTAGATGGTCTTTCAGGTCCCTTCCAACCCAAACCATTCTGTGATTCTGTAAGATCCTGCATCTACCATTGCAGATGCTTCTGTTTTGTGAACTTCTCTTACCAGTTGCACAGTACATTAGAACGGGAAAACAGGACAGTGTTTTCTAAATTTCTAAATCTCTCTGTATTATTTTTTACAAGGTTTCCAGCTATCTCAAGTGTGAATGAGATTTATTAAGCAGAAAATACAGCTCTTGTTTCACGTTTTTTTCCCCACTCTGAGCTCCCTTTTCACAAAATGATGTACAGTTAGAGAAACTTGTGCAAGAACTGACATGCTGTAGTTTTTGGACCTTAGCAAACGTCTTTCATAAAAGTCATGAGAAAAGCAAACTCTTACCCAGTACCACGTTTGTGCGGTTGCTTGTTGCTTTGCCAGTGCCATTTTTATGACCAATGCAGTAGCACTAGCACCATCTTATGGGCAGATATAGTCGGTTTACGCCAGCCCAACTTCATCTACTGATCAAGCTCACTAGTAGAAATTAAAAGAACCAGGAGGAACAGGTAGAGTTTTACTTGTTTTAATAGTTGTTTTTACTCTTTTTTTTAAATCATAATTTTATTCAACAGTATTACTGTACTTTCAATCACAATCAACTAAATAGTGGAGAATACTGGCTTAGAAAGTACACCCCATCAGAAAGGTTTAAGTCATTTAACTAGTGATGTCAAGTAACCATTTTTTTAAAAGGCTAAGAAGTTCTTCCACAGTCCTAAAGCAGTTTTCAAGTTCTGCTGTGTAATTCTCTCCTGACAGTCTGCCTCTCTTAATTACTGGGCATATTACAGGCTAAACTCTTCTTAGAGTATCTTCCTTCTCTCCTCTGTCAACACAGGGTATATAGCTCAGGTCAGTGGTTTATCAGGACTCGAAACAGCATACTGTTTGATTGGAGCTAAAGGGCTGAAAAAAAGCCTTCTATGTGATCTTCAAACTTACGTGACTATCACTAACTTGTTTTACTGCTTTACATACTTTGATTTAAATGGAAAGATACTGAGACCTAAGGAACTTTACTTGCAAAGGCATTACAGAGCAATAAGCAGTAAATTAAATACTTTATTTTATGTACATCTCCAATAAGATAATAGATATGTAGTTGCTGTGTAAACTCTATACTTTGCTATTTGGAGATGAAGGCCTTCACCTTTCCTACTTAATTTTTCAATGGACCTAGACATAAAAGCAGGACTTTATTAAGGGATTAATTTCTGGAAACGAAAGGATCCTGTTAGCTTGAAAACATACTCATGTAGCTTCCCACTCAAATGTAAGCATAGCAAGAACTCCAGTGTTTCTTGTTCTATAGACAACTATTTTAGTACAAAAGTGGCAGATAAATATTTCCTGACACATATTTTTACAGAATTGGTGATATTTTGCAGCCATGTTGTTGATCTGTTCATTCAAGTGTGTGAAAATCACCTTCTTTTGTATGTTCCATGCTCATGTTAAGTATCTTGGAGTCTAATGAGGCATCTCTAATTCCTTGACTAAACTGATCATTCCCAATCCTCTTGTAAGAGCTCACTTAAGAAAACTGTCAGTGTTCCACATATCACCAGAAGTCATTCCCCACCCACTTCCAATTTCCCCTTCCCTAAAAGCTGCCACTGATGCGTCCCACAAAGCTACACGCTTCGCAGAGCTTGGTGATGTTCTTAGACCACACGAAACCTGTCTGGGTGGTTGAGAACCACTGTTCTGCAAAAGCACACAGAATCTCTCTGAAGCTTCCTGACTTTCAAGAGAAAAAAAGAATTAGAGGGCTTTCAATGTAAATACAGAATCAAAGAACTGGAAACAAATCTTCAGCCAGGCTTCAGTTGGAACTATTGGTACTATCTTCGAGGGCTGCATTTTGGTTTTCACAGACACATTAGATCTCAGAAACAGGCTGTGTGTACATAAGCATTGAAACAGAGGAAAAAATACAGCTCTTCCACTTAAAATCAGTAATTAGGCAAAAAAATATTCAAAATACGAGTAAAGTATTCTGAAATTAATAAATTGGAGTACTGGATTTTCTAAAGCTATGAACTTGAAATCCAAAAATTGTTGAGCTTTTTCACTGTTCGGTGTTTCTGAAAACAAGGTCACTTCATTATCAAATATCTGAAGGAATTTGGATAGACAATTGATGTTTTAAATCTTGCCCTACAAGTTTCATGGCAATAGACAGACAGTGTTAAGTTTGTGTTACTATTTGCATCAAATGGCTATTGATAGAAATGAAATTTTAAAAAGTACTGATTACATTCTGATATAGTTAGACTGTTGTTCTTCAGTAAGCATTGTTTACTGTTATGTCTCATTTAGATAGATTACAACGCTTACGTAAAAGCAATTAAAAGGTGCATCATTTTGAGGTATTTCAATAGATAGTAAAGCTCATGTCCATTAGGCACCTGAAATCTCTGCAAGAAAATCTTTTTCCCTTTCTACATGACTGTCAGCAAAACCATTTATTTCTGTCTTCATTGCACTTACTGTACTCTTGCTGTAAATGTTGCCTAAAATATTTAATGCTATATAAAGATTATACTGAGAATGTTACTGTTTTCAAAAATCCCAGGGCATATCCAAACCTGCTGAGTGCGTAAAAATGTACTTGGTCAAAGACTGCAAAAGAGTTGGCTTGTAATTAATGATAACATATATCTGAACCTCAAAATTGAATCATGATGATTTGGCAATCCTTGTGTAGTCTTGATCTAGACAATCTCACCATGCAATATGACATCCCAAAGCTAAGGATATTCTCTTTTTATTTCAGTACAAAGATTGTCCAATGAAGTGATCTGATTGATCCAAAGAAAAAAAAATCACATTGTTGTAATCTGAGATTTCTTAGGGGATTATTTTCACAGGGTTGTTTTGTTATCTGTGTTGTGTGAGTTATGTGTGGAACATGCAGTGGATGCATCATCTCTTACATGTATGAGATGAGGTTTCACATTGTTGTAATCTGAGATTTCGTAGGGGGTTATTTTCACAGGGTTGTTTTGGTATCTGTGTGTGTGAGTTATGTGTGGAACATGCAGTGGATGCATCATCTCTTACATGTATGAGATGAGGTTTTTTTTGAAATCACAGTGCTGTGTGTTTGTGACTTCAAATGTAGGCTTAATGAGCTAAGTAGTTGCAGGTCTTTTGATTTCCAATGGACTCTTCTCTCTCATTTTCAGTATAGCAAGCCTTCGTCATTAACATTCAGGTACCTGAGTTGGAAGTGAAATCATGTTTTCATCTAACTGAGTACTTAACAAACAAATTTAAAAAGCAAAAACCAGAGGCATTTCTTTCCATTTTGCTGACTTTCTGTTATCATCCTAAAAGAGTCACAGCGTCCTGGAAGATCCCAGTTCTTAAAGCTCAAGGCTTGTCTGGTCTACAGTACATTTCTTCAGAGATGGCTATTGCATACGTCTCTTTGTCCTGCAACAGGGGCCCACTCTACATGGGTGTTCTGTGTGTTTTCCTGAGAAATGCAAAGATCTGAAATGGTTGGCTCTGGTTATATCTGCTATAAGAGCACAAGTGGGTTTCTTAAATGATCCAGATTCAGACGATAGAACGTCAAGATCACGTACTGTAGGACTTTACCCTGACTGGAAAGGGGAAACATAACCCTCGTCTTTAAAAAGGGAAAAAAGGAGGATCCAAGGAACTAGAAGACAGTCAGTCTTATCCCTGTGCCTGGAAAGATGATGGAGCAGATCCTCCTGGAAATCATGCTGAGGCACATGGAGAATGAGGAGGTGATTGGTGACAGACAACATGGCTTGACCAAGGGCAGATCATGCCTGACTAATA